CGGGAGGGAGCAGCGCCCTGACAGGGAGGGAGACGACAAGGGGCCGGCGAGGACAAAACAAAGGCGAAGGGCCAAGGGTGGACCAGAAACAACCCCCCCCACGAAGCGCCAGGGAGGGGGGGTTGAGAAATGGGAAAAGAGCAGGAAGCGAACGCCGCGCAACCAAACCCACCCCAACACCCACACCCACCCACACCCCCGCCCAAGCCCAAGCCCGAAGCACCCACGCACCCACGCCCCCACGGCCCCACGCACCCACGCCCCACCCACCCAACCACCCACCCACCCGCACACCCACCCACCCAAAAAAAACACACACACACACACACACACCACACACACACACACACACACACACACACACACACACACAACACACACCACACACACACACACACACACACACAACACACACACACACACCACACACACACCACACACACACACACACTACACACACACAACACACACAACACACACACACAACACACCACACACACCACACACAACCACACACACACACACACACACACACACACACACACACAACACACACAACACACACACACACACACAACACACACAACACACACAACAACACACACACACACACACACACAACACACACACACACAACACACACACACAACACACACACACAACACACACACACAACACACACACACACACACAACACACACACACACACACCACACAAACACACACATCCACACACACACACACACACACACACCCACACACACACACACACACATGCACACACACACAACACACACACACAACACACACACACACCACAAACACACACACACACACACAACACACACACCACACAACACACACACACACAACACACACACACACACAACACACACCACAACACACACACACACACACAACACACACACACACCACAACAAACACACACCACAACAAACACACACACACAAACACACACCACAACAAACACACACCACAACAAACACACACACACAAACACACACCACAACAAACACACACCACAACAAACACACACACACACACACACACACACACACACACACACACACACACACACACACACACACACACACACACACACACACACACACACAACTCGCACAGAGGCCGGAGGCCCGGTAAGGGAACAGAGCACGGCGTGCAGCGCACAGGAGCTCTATTTCACGCGGCACGCAAAGGAACGAGGTGAGGGTCTATGTACACTGCCAAACCTTCTGCCTGTAGAGCCTGCGAGGCGCGACGCAGGAGCGTCGAGCAGCACGTGGCCTCAGCGGCCGGGAACTGCGAGCAGAAGAGAGAGAGAGAGATCGAAGCTGCTCCATGTCGGAGCCACCGGAGTGGCGGATGTTGGCGAGGAGCCACCGGCGGACTCGGCGGAGTCCGGGCAGGGGCAAGGGTCCCTGCTGAGAGCCGGCGGCGGAGGTGCGCGTGGAGAGGCTCGGAGAGAGGGATAGGGCGCCTGCGCCAGCGCGGGTTGGAGGCCAGCTGCTTGACCCATTCCCACCAGCAGTCAGGGCACAGCGTGGGGACACCTGGAGCCTGAGAGACATAAGCAGCATGCGCGCCAGAGTTCCAGCGGCAGCGTCCGCGACAATGGAGGACTGTGTGGCAGGATGCGCAGGGGTCTCCGAGCCGGGACTTGCACCAGGGGCAAGGCTGCACCGCGCCAGAATGGTGGGGAAAGTCCGGGCCGCCACACGCTCAGCAGGAGACAATGAGCCGGGATTGACCAGAGGCAGGGCACAAGCATGGGCGGGAGAGGCCGGACAAGGCTTCGTCCCAGGATGGCCAGTCTGGGCCCCAGCTAGGAATGCCATCAACAAGCAAGGCCACACCGGCCTCAAAGAGAAGCGACTTGATAGCCGATTCAGTTCGCGACCTGAAGCCCGAAGCTAAACGCACCCGGGAGGCTGCCGAAGGCAGGGAGAGGAGGGACCAACGCAGCTCTCTAAGGACAGCTGAACCTGGCGGCGAGTACAGCCAAACCAGAAGAGGATCCACTTGCCGCGGCGCGGCAGCGTCCAGCAGCGGCGCAGGGACCGGGGTGGAAGCACGAGCGAGCCGCAGCCAAGCCTCAATGCGGCGCTGGTACTCCGCACGGATGCGGCGCAGGCCCAGGAGGAGAGCCTGGACTGTGCGGATGGCTGGCAGGAACCGATGCTGGGATTGAGCAAGCCTGTCCAGCTCAGAGGCAAGAGCAGCAGGTTGCGCCAGGGTTGCGAAGGACTCCATGTCTGCACAATCAGCCGACGAGGAGTCGCTAGACCCCGAACGGCAGAGGGCCACACCGAGCTGCAGCGGGAGGACACCGCGGTAGGCGAGGTCCGACCCTGTCTCCCTGCTGGTGGAGACCGCGCTGCTACCTTAACATCCACGGATAGAAGGGACTCCCGGTCGGGAATGGGAACCAGCCAGCGCCAAGCAGAGAGCAGCGGCCAACGATTCTGAGAGGCCAGAGGAGGGGGACTTGGCACGCGGTCACGTGGCAAAGACCCTCGCCAGTCAGCGGCAGCCTGTAAGAGCGCATCTGTGGCGGCATGCTGGGACAAATCGGCCTCAAGCGCGTCACGAAGGAGGTTCGCCAGCGGAGCCATGGCTGCGCAGGCCATGACAACATGCCGGGGAGTGCCCGGACCATCCCGGCACAGGGGGCAAAGGCGGACTGATGGAGGGTGTGGCTGCTGCTCCACCCAGGCAGCAGCTGTTGCAGCAGATTCAGGCTGGGAATGCAGGCGCTCCGTCCAGCTGCCGCCGATGGCCCGGAGACAGCGAAAGGCCATCGCTTCCCACGTGGCAGCGCGTGTGAAGCGAGGGGTCTAGGGCGGGCTGAAACACCTGAGCAGCAACTCGGGGGAGAAGACCCTGCACCGCTCGCTTGCCCCACAAGTCCGAGCTTGCCGAGCGGACCAGGGAGCGGGTAACAGTCCGGACGGGGGAGGTCAGCATGCGGCCGTTGAGGGTGAGCCACGCAAGCGGGCCTCCACTGGGGATATAGATGTCCGGAACAGCTGGGAGCAAACGAGCCTGACGGCAGCCCTCATCTTGCACCTCATTACCCTGGACCACAGCGGAACAGGGATGGGAGGAGTGAGTCTGATGGCTGCGAACGTGAACCCCCACAACACCATGTCTCACGAAAGCAATCTTGGAGAACTGGCGGACACGCCCCTCGAGCGGCAACCGCACATTCCACAGCGATGGGGCCTGCTCCTGCTGGAGCCGCCATGCTGGTTGAGGGGGAGGATCCTTCCAAGAATCCGCGAGCTCACCAAGGAGCCGACGGAGGTGGCAGACAAAAGGAAGACCCGGCGAGGTGAGGAGGTCTTGAGTGATACCCCGGTCCACCATAGCAAGTATGTCAAAGAGCGAGGAGCGGTCGAAAGCCAATAGGTGCCAATGACCCGGCTGGCGGAAGCGGAGAGCTACAACCAGCGACAGAAGCTCGGCCGTGTGTATGGACGAGTGGGCCCAACCTAGACGTGCTGGAAGGCGGCCGCGGAACTGGCAAGAGACCCAACTAGCTGAACCCCAGTAGTCATTAGACGGGCCGAAGCCACGCGCCTGGCAGGCGAATGTGGCACCGTGAGAGGAAGTGAAACTGCCGTCACCAAAGAGGGCGAAGTCGCCTGCTGGGATCGCCGCCCTCTGCAGAAGATGGGAGGACCGGGGATCAACCAGAGGGTCCCAGGGGGTAGACCAAGCGGCAGGGAGCCAGTCTTCCGAGGGTGGGTGCGGCGGGCACGGCACAGCAAAAAGGCGGCATTCCGCCTCGAAATCAGCACGCGACTGCCGGAGGGCTGCAGAAGCTGCGCGCGCACAGGCCTGAGCGGAGACCGGGGCGTGCGCAGGCAGATGGGCCGCCCAGGTCTCCGGGATAACGAGTTGCGCCGGCGGATCCGGCAGGAGGAGAATGGCATGGTAGGCGGCGCGGACAGAGTTGGCGAGCAGCCCCACACGAGAGAAGCGGGCTGCAGCGTCAAACCTCGCCTGGGAGAAAGGGCCAGCCAGGGCTTGCGGCTCAGGGGGATGGAGGTTATCCAGAAGACGGGAAACAAACCGATCCGTGGAGTTTAGTAGGGTTTAGTAGGGTTTAGAAGGGTTTAGAAGGGTTTAGTAGGGTTTAGTAGGGTTCAGTAAGGTTTAGTGGTTTAGGGTTTAGGGGCTTGGGGGGGAGGGGGATGGGAGGAGGTGGGGATTCGGCATTGAATCTAGGGTTTGGGATCTTTGGGGTGGGGTTGGGGATCTTTAGGGTTCCGGGCTTTCGGGATTTAGGACTAGTAGGGTTTAGGGTTTAGGGTTTAGGCTTAGGGTTTAGGGTTTAGGGTTTAGGGATCCTAGTTCGGTTTTACTTGGGGTTCAACTGTCCAAGCTGATCAGGGGAGGGCCACCTCCACAGTCGCGACATGAATCTCGGGATTCCAGTATGCAGGCTTCTGGCTGAAGGCTTCAGGGTTTAGGGTAAAGTTTCGGGGTTTAGGGTTTAGCGTTTAGGGTTTCAGGCTCTAAACCTACTGAATGATATCGACAAAATCGTCAACCCTACGCCCTATACCCCAAAACCCTAAACCCTGAAACATCCTATACTCGACGCCCTAAACCTTTCGGGCGTCAAGCCCTTGTAGCCCTGGAGCCCACTTGGGTTCTGGGCTTCGTCTGCTGGCGCAAAGCGCACGTGAGCGGGAAGTGACGCGCGATCTGCCTAGAGACCAATACCCTACACACCCTACATACCCTCAACTCTAGCAGGCCCTAAGCGTCCCTGAACCAACAAAGACTGGGCAAGTACCCTAAACTCTACTAACCCCTAAACCCTAAACCCTAAACCCTAAACCCTAAACCCTGAACCCCAAAACCTAAACCCTAAACCCTAAACCCTAAGCCCTAAGCCCTAAGCCCTAAGCCCTAAGCCCTAAGCCCTAAGCCCTAAACCAACACAGACTGGGAACAGAGAGCCCGACAGAGGAGAGCGGTCGCTCAGCGATGCGTCTGGACACTGCCCGCCGGCCTTGGCCGAAATCCTAGACCCCCCTGAACTCCCTGAAACCCCTAGGGTTTAGGGTTTAGGGTTTGGGGTTTGGGGTTTGGGGTTTGGGGTTTGGGGTTTGGGGTTTAGGGTTTACGCGAGAGATCATGGGGTTTGGGGTTCAGGGTTGAGGGTTTACGGACGTATGAACACAAACTTGACTACGCATGCAAATGCAGAGGTTCAGCCACATACATACATGAGTGCGAACAATGTTGAATGGGACCTATTTGTAAGATTTAAATGCAGAACTACATGGCATGTACACACACACACAGCTCTGAATCAGCCCATGACCCGCCCCCCCCCCACACCCACCCCCATCTTCTCCAGACCGCCTGGGTGGAGGTGCAAGTCGTATCTCTCTGGCAGCCATGTGCTTAGGTTCGACTGAGGGCTGGACACCATTCCAGGTACTCTTCGTCCTAGCGGCTTCTCTACTCCCCTTCGAACCTCGAATAGAAAATAGTATGCTTAACGTCCTCTTGGGTTTTATATGAACAAAAATAATTCCAAAGGGGGATTTAGGTTTGGGGTTTGGGCTTTTCACACCTTTGGAACCTCAATGAGAGTTCATATTCCCTTGGACAATTTTTGCTATAAATGCAGATACAAGATAAAGTTCCTAAGGGGGCCATAGTGAGGTTCAGGGTCTATAGGTGCCTCGGAGGCTTTGTGTGTTCTGTGGCAGCCCAATCGGCTTTAGGGTTTAGGGCTTAAGGCTTGGGGCTTGGCAACTCGTGGTTCTTCTTGCCACCGACATATATACACAGCCAGATCTTCCTCAGTGCGATGTAAGCAGTGGATGATCCACAGCCAATGTAAGCCGCTTTAAACCCCCCTGCGAAACCAAATTTGGAAATTCCATGAGTTTGAAGCCACCTGAGCAGCGAAACGGAGCTGCGACTTTCGTCAGTTAAGTCAAACTGTGGAGTATCCTAGTGCTATACACCCTGCACCCGGTTGCTGTTGACTTCCTTACCCAAACCCGAAGGTCCGCGATCGCCCATTCCATCCACAGTTCCTGCAGTTTCCCCCTGAATACCCCCATCAAACCTCATAAGCCCTCTTCGGGTAGTTTCATGGTCCCCTTATACCCCTGATACCCTACATAACCCAAGGGCCCATACTTCAGAACCCTTCACAGGAGCCAGAGAACCATACTCAGGGCCCGTGACTACGCATTGCTTAAGAATCCCACCCCCAAAAAAATGATCCTCCTTATAAGGGCAATATGGGGATTTTCATTTTCTATTTTTGGGGATTCTTAAGCAAATAGTAGATGAAACTACCCTTAGCAGCCCACGCAACCCTCGAAACCCCATCAACCCTCGAGCCCACGAGGGCTGCGATGAACCCCAACAATGCCCACGGCGATCTCCAAAAAGTTGGAACATCCTTGTCCCCATACCCGAAAAGGTCTACTAAAGGCAATCCCAACTCTAATCATCCTTAAACCAGGTTCCAACTTTCCGGATTTTCCTGCAGAAAACACCCTTCGAGGGTCCCACATGCAGCCACGCACGTCGAGGGGGAGGGGAATCGTACGCCGATAAACCCCAAAAGGTGTAAACTCTGACACCCTAAAACCCAAACACCCTCACTCCAAATACCTCCAGCCATCACAGCCTCAAAACCACAAACCCTCGGAACCCCTCAAACCCCCAAAACCCAAAACCCGAAACCCGAAACCCTAAATCTCCAAAGCCTCGCTCCTCTGGTGCGGTTGTCTGCAGCACAAAGCGCTCCAGATCTTCAAGGCGTAGTAGTGGCCTTGGGGTATTTAGGGTTTAGGGTTTAGGGTTCAGGGTAATGAACCCTAAACGCTAAGCCCTGAAAATGGGATCATACACCCTATACCACTATCATTCCGATTAAGGTCTATGAGCCAAAAACCCTTTTGGGGTTCGCTCATGTGGCCCTCAAGGATTGTTTGTGTTGGCATAAACCCTAAACTGCCGAAATTATATTAATTTCAAAACCCAAATTAGGCAAATGACGTCGCGCTAAATATGAAACACGAAATTAGTGACGTCGCGCTTAATTTCAAAATTGAAATTAAGGACGTCGCGCTTAATTTCGTTTCCGAAATTAAGCTCCAGGGTTTACACATAGCCCAGCCACCCAAACTCAGGGCCTGACGGAACCTAAAACTCTCAGCCCTGCCCTAAACTCACTCAAACCCTGCAACAACCTATTAAAAGGAGCCTACCTGGGCCACCCTGAAACAACCCTACAACGACCTTGAAACAACCCTACAACGAGCCTGTCTGCAGCCCAAAACACAATGTCAAGCCGATTTGGGAACAACCTGAGCCCTGTACCCCAAACCTTGCCCCAAACCCTGAAAAAACCCCTATCTGGGCCAGATAGGGTTTTTTTGAGTCTATCTGGCCATATAGGGCCGAAGCAAAGCCAAACCCCATTTTCAGGGC